TTAAAACTGCAGTATCACTGTTTAAAACTGTACCTTGATCTGTACCCCAAACAACTTCCTGTCATAAACCTCTAACAGTGTTACAAAATAGCCCTAAAAACCCATCTGAGCCCTCCGTAAAGTGTACATTTTATGTAAATTGATACCCCAATAGCTAATGTCATGGCTCAATTTCCATAGTACAAAAATTTTGGTAAATAACATGTGTATGAGTTAATTTTGCACCCCAATTCAAATGCAGAATTGGGATTGTATAAATATTTTTATTTTGTGTAAACACTTGAATGTTAAACTGTTAAAGGGAGGGAAAAGCCAAAATTAGTTTTATTTGCAAAAGAAAAAATGACGGTAATATCAGGTTGTAAAAATATCATTCACCTTTTTGTTCCATAAGTAGTGTTCATTGTAGAAAAGTCTTAAAGCTTGAGGCATGTGCAAAAAGGAAAAAAAAAGCCATCAGAATTTCCACCACAAAATATTTTGATGTATATACCCTATCAGACTCTCCTATGCAAATATATATACACACAGAGATACTTTACAAAATCGGATTCTTACTACAAACACTGTTCTCTTCAATGTTTTGTTTTTTCATCCACGCTGTGATTCAGTTCCCTGACCAGGGATTGAGTCCATGTCCTCAACGGTGAAAGTGTGGGGTCCTCACCACTGGAGCACCAGGACATTCTCACACACACTTTTTTTTATTTTCTAAGCTTCTCTCTTCACTTAATGCAACATGAATGTTATGAAAATTATATTTTAAAATAGAGATGCAAAAAAGCAAGATATTTTCATAATATCCTTCACCTACCAACTTCTCACACAGGGCTAACTCTTTATCATCACATTAGAGCAGACCCGCACACCTGGCTGTTAGAACAGTTCTGGTCCAAGACACATGTCATCATTTTTACATCATCACGTCACAAGAGAGAGAGAGCTTCATCGATAGCATCCTGCAGCAGAGTCGCTGTAAAGCCAGCCAGGCCGGCTTCCTGACAACAAGGGTCAGGATCAAACACAACCCCATGTGCCCACTTTCCAGCCTCCAACTGTTTAATTCTCCCAACTACCCAAGAAGCCGGGAGCCTATAAAATGGGGCAGCGTGAGGCTGTGCCTCAGGGCACAGAGCGTAGCAAGTCTGTGTCCCTGGGCTTTGTGTACACAGTTGTGCTATGGGCCGAAGATTCTACACTGAGCTTAGTCAATAGACCAAGAAGTGATGGGCCGAAGACTCTAGAAGCTCAGTTATGTTTCCTACTTATCCCACAGTCCTCATTTCCCTGCAGGATCCAACAACACGTGGAGGCTCCCTTCGCCTCAAAGCCACCTCCCAGGAAGGTGGTCCTGGGTCCACGCTCAGCGCCGTGCCCAGCACACTGAGCGAGGGAGCTAAGACCCTCCTGAGAACAGACAGCCCTCCTACTCTCACTTCTCCTGGGCACCTTCTGCCCTGATGAACCCACTGAGATGGAAACGAGGCGCCCCAAGAACCATAAGCCTTTCTGGGAAATGCAGGGCCAGCACCCATTTACCGTTACTCATTGACCAACACTGTTTGGGGTGCCTGTTCTGCCCCAGATAAGGTGTCCCAAAAAGCTCACCATCTGAGGGGAAACAATTCAGAGGTTTCAGAATTACACGAAGAACTTCTGTGATTGGTGTCACCTGTCACCATCAACAGTATCTTTGGTGCGTTATTAATAAAACACTTGTGAAGTACTTTTAAAACTGAAGACACAGCTTGAAAACTTCAAAGTATAGTAGAAAAGAATGCTTTCAAAGGTGCAGGTCGCAACTCAACAGTACATAATAAAATAATCTGTGTATTACAACCACCATTATTGTTAATGAAACTGAGTCAAACAAAAGATGCCAGAAAATATCGAGAGTATCGTTTTGTAAGCCCTGCCGTGTGAAAGTGTGTGTACCTGTGTGAGTGTGTGCATGTGTGAGAGTGTGTGTACATGCATGAGTGCAGGGTGTGTGCAGAGCACTACAAGTCTCAAGGTGTTTAGTTCTTATAGTGGATCACGGTCAAAACTCTGCATTCTAAAATTTAACAGAAAAAATAATCGGTCCTGTCAAGGTAATACTAGGCAGACAGTTATCCAAGTTTGAAAAAGTTCATTCGAATAATAACTAAAAGGCTATTTTAGCTAAACAATGTAAAATAAGAGAATTACTAAAACCGAGAACAATGGTATGAAAGGCTACTGTAAGAATTTTTACTGTGCCACCAATTTGTTTTTATTAAATAAAAAAAAATGGGTGTATTTTACATCCAGCTGCAGCCAATACTACCAACATTTTTGTAAAGAATTTGCTCAAGCAGACCTCCCTGCCTCCCCACCCCAGAAGCAGCAAACAGGGCCCTTAATCTGCACTCCATCCATGCAAATGAATAAGCCTCACCCAGTATCCTAAGAACGACACCAGTTTCGCTCTCCAGTGTACTGGAAAATGGCAAGCTCTGGAGACTGTGAAATGCAGGGCTGTGACCCAAAACAAAGCTGACAATATAAAGAAAGTTCCAACAATTGCAGAGAACACTCAAAACCCTATAAGCTACAACTAAAGCCCACACACATTACTATGTATTCAGACAATAGTATCAGCACCAGAGAACCATGCCATATGCAATGATTTCTTATCTGTTCTCACTACCTATCATTCCAACACAACATTTACAATCCCGCATAATTTCTGTCTCAGAAACGGGCACACAAATAAATACTCCTTACGAGGCTTTCGATTGTTTTCACTGCTGCAAAATGTCTTCAAACCCACTTAAAACAGTCCTAACAACACAAACTCCTGGGAAAAAACAACCCATGATCTTTCAGCAGCCGACTGAACGAGTGGAAATGACCGCCAACTGCGTACCCGCGAACCAGTCCTGGGTCTTGCGAAGTGTCGTGACCAAGAGCGGAATAAAAGTGGCAGCCATCCACAGCTAGCAGCGGCGGTGTGTGCTACTGTCTTCAAAGACAGAAGAAAGAAAAAAAATGATGATTCAAATATATACCTGAGTAACCAGACCACTCATTACCTCTATAAACACTTTCAAAGAACAGGGGGTGAAGCGCCAGGGCCGCCAACTGCGAGGACTGCCAGGGCTTTTTTTTCAAATGCCCGTTCCGGAGGAGCACAAGAAAACTTGGGAGGAGGCGCTCAGCGATGACCGTGCGCCGGGCGCCGAGAAAGGAGGTGGGCACGCGCGGCGAGCCCCGCTCGCGTCCACCTGACGCCCAGTGGCTCTGGAATCGCACCCGAGTAAACCTCAAGGACGGGCCCGACGCGGGCCGAGGCGGCCCCGGCCCGCCCGTGACAGCGCCGCGCAGGTGGGCGCCGCGCGCTCCCGGGAGATGCGGCACCTGGCGGCAGCGGCGGCCCGGCCCCGGGCGCGGGGCGCCTCCCACAGCCCGGGGCCGCGGTCCCCCGCGCCGGCCCCGCGGGAGGCTGTCAGGGCGCGAGCCGCCCGGCCCCCGGCCCCGCACCGTTACCGCCCCCGCCCCCACCCCCCGCCGCTTACCTCAAAGTAGCCTCCGGGGGCGGCGCCGCCCGCGCCCGCGCCGAGGGGCCCGTTGGCCGCCGCCGCCGCCGCCGCGCCGCCTGGGGCCGCCAGGCCCGCGGCCTGAGAGCCGCGCAGCGCCGCCGCCGGGCCGGCCTTGCCGCCGCCCGCGCCGCCGTTGCCCCCGCCCGAGCCGCCGCCGCCGCCGCCCCGCTTGTTCTTCCGGCGCTTGGCCCCGCGCTTGGCGTCGGCCGGGCTCATGGCGGGCGGGCGGGGAGGGCGCGGAGTGGGCGCGGGGCCGCGGGCGGCGGCGGAGGGCGGGGAAGGCGGGGAGGCTGAGGCGGCGGCGGGACACGCTTTGGCCAGCCGCGGGCGGGGAACGGGGGGCGGGGGCAGGGCGCTGCGCGGGGTCGCCTCCGGGCGGGCGGGCGGGCGGCAGCTGCGGGGCGGCGGCTGGGCGGGAGCGACGGCGAGTCCACCGGGCCCGGCGCCGCCGCTGACCAGAGTTAGAGTCCAATATGGCGGACACAAGGGGAAAGGGATCCCAGTTTACGTCGGGGGAGGGGGAAGGAGCGGCGGGGAGGGGGAGGGGTGTGGGCGCCCTCCTCCCCCCCTCACCGCCCCCCCTCGCCTCACTCCGCCCTCTCGAGCTCCGCTCCCCCTCCGGCCGCGCCCTCCCCGCCCGCCGTTAACACGCCTCCGGCACGTGGGGCACGCCGGGAGCTAGAGTCCGTGCGCCCGCACCCGCCGCTCGGGCTGCCCGGTGTAGGAACTACGATTCCCGTCAGGCCGCGCGCTCTCAAGCGCCCGGACTTCGCGAGGGGCTGCGGCAAGGGGAGCGAGATGCGGAGGTGACGTCACCCCGGGCCCCAGCCGCGCGGCCCCCTCCCCGCCTGCGCCGCGCGGCCTTCTGGGACTTGTAGTCGAGCGGCGGGGCCCGGCCCAGCGCGGGGCCGGGTGAGCGAACTACCAGCCGGCGATGAGGAGAGTTCCGACTCTTTGACAGGCTCCCAGACGCCCCCACGCCCCACGCCTCCGCCGCGGGTCCGCAGCCCGGTTCGACCCCCGGGATGGCGTCGGGCAGGCGAGACCCCGTTTTGACCCGCCGGGAACGGCTCTGTAACCGTGGCCCGGCTCCGGGTTCGAATCCGCCTCCACCGGCTGGCTCTGTGACCTTGGGCTGGGGTCCTCGCCTGAATCCAGGTGACTAAGTGGGACTCGAAGGACCCGCCTCGGGGGATGGGCCGCGTTTCCGGACGGAGAGCGCTGGGTCTCGCTGCCGGCTGGTCAGGGGCCTCCTGCCCCGGTTGATGGGGCCGCCAAGAGCCTTCAGACCTGGCCACTCGCTTAGAACCGCTGGCCCGGAGGCGCCCTTCCCACCTCGCCTTCTTCCCGCTGCCCCTTTGCAGCCTCCGCCCGGCCTCCGGTACCTTGCGACCCTGCGCTGTCCCAGGGCGGTCCAGCCATTCCTCACGACCTCGCATGCACCCGCCGCACAACTCCCACGAACCCCGTCAGGCCCTCCCCGGCCCTGCAGTGGGGCCGCTCCGCAGGGATCCTCCCCGGGCCGCTAGGCCGTCATCGGCAAGCCCCAGGTACAAGTCTGCCCTAGGACCCGGACCACAGGGATCCCTCGTCGGGCCCAGCGTTCAGGAGGGCTCCACCCTTGACAAACACCGAGACACAAGAGACGGGTTTTACCTTCCTTGGTTCCACGGCTGGTTACAGGGCCGAGATACAGAGGAGCTTGGCGCTAGGGTGTATGGTACGAGGGCCTTCATTTGCATTTCTTCTTAGGCCCCACAGCCTTCATCTCTGGGCCTGTCAGGACTCACCGCCTCACCTTCACCCTTTCCCCAGCTGCAGCCGCGGCTTTTTAATCCTCTGACCTATTCTTAGTGCCACAACCAGAATGAGCTAATATGATCAATTATGTAGGCAGAATAAGACCTCTCACTCCTCCTGGTGGGTCTTGAATGACCTTGTTGCTGAAGGTAGCGTTTGACAGGGTGAGTGGGGGTGTTTGTCTTAGCACTCCACTGGGTGGGCAATGTTTTGGGCGGCCCCCCTGCCCACAGCTTCCCTCATAGCTCAGTGGGTAAAGAATCAGCCTGCAGTGCGGGAGACCCCCAGGTTCGATTCCTGGGTCGGGAAGATTTGCTGGAGAAGGGATAGGCTACCCACTCCAGTACTCTGGCCTGGAGAATTCCGTGGACTGTATATGGGGTTGCAAAGAGTTGGACACGATCAAGTGACTTTCATTCTCCCCACAAGTCTGGGTCAGACTCCCCAATCCCACAGGCCCTGTGCTTTTGCTTGTCAGAGCACGTCGCACTGGACTGGGATTCTTGGTGTTCACCAGTATCCCCGGAGAAGTCTAGTCTTGGGCATAGGAATGTCTGCCTCCTGCACCTCTGAACCTTAGCTCCTGCCAGGCAAGGGCTGGACACACATCAATCCAGTATTTGCTGGATGAATGAGTGACATAATAATGACCATTTGTCAAGCAGTTTCACATCAGCCACTCTGCTGCTGCATGCTCTCATGCAATCCATACGACCATTCTCCAGATAGGCACCATTAGCCCTCTACTGGGGATGAGAAACAGAAATTCACAGATGGTGCGGGGTTTCCCCAAAGTCACCCAGATAGTCAGAGGCAAGGCCCAGGTTCCAGCTCAGATGTGGCTCAGGTACGACTTGGTTTCAGCAGAGCACAGGGTGATATAATCAAGAGTTCTCTGGTGCCTGGGGACAGAAGCCTCTCTGAGGAGGAGAGCTGGACCAGAGCTAGTAACTGTCAGAGCAAAGGCCTTTCAGCCATTCAAGACAAGCAGGGGAAAGCCCAGCATTCCCTGGGACCTACCAACATCAAGGTCCGGTTTTATTCTAAATGGAACTGAGAGTCATGGAGGGTTCTGAGCAAGGACTGTCATGTAGGATGCATGTTTTTGAGATAACTCTGGCTGTTATATTGAGAATGGATGTCAGGGGAGCAAAATTAGAGGCTGGGACACCCCTGAAGGGTGCCCAGCAGTTGGAGAGGGTGCTCCTGGCAAACAGTTTATAAACAAAAGGCATAAAAAAGTGGCTCTCAGCTCATTTTCTATTATCTACCCCTAAGGAAAAATTAAGATATTAAGGAGAAAATACTAAGGAACAAAATTTTGTCTGGTCAATCAAACTTTGGGAGGGCCAAAAACCATTGTAATATCTAAGATTTCTTTCTTCCCTTAAGAATCAGTTTTCACCCCTTGAGAGATGTGTTAGTCAGTGTTCTCCAGAGAAACAGAACCAATAGGAAACAGATCAGATTTATGGTAAGGAATTGGCTCATAGAATGATGGAGGCTGCCAAGTCCTGAGACCTTCAGTTAGCGAACTGGAGAGCCGGTGGTGCAGTCTAAGTCCGAAAGCCTGAGGGCCAGGAGGGCCAGGGGAGGTCTTCTAGTCTGAGAGCCAGCCAGGCGCGAGACCCAGGAAGAGCTGATGTTTCAGTGTGAGTCCAAAAGGTAGGAAGAAATAAACGATCCAGCTTAGAGGCACTCAGGCAACAGGAGCTGTCTTTTTCTTCTACACAGGCCTTCAACTGATGGGATGTGGCCCACCCACATCGAGGAGGGCAATCTGCTTTACTCAGTTGACCAATGCAGATGTTAATCTTATCGCAAAACACTCTCAACAGACACCTCCAGAATTATGTTTAACCAAATATCTGAGCACTCTAGGGCCCACTCATGCTGACCTAAAATAACCGTCACAAGGGAGAATGCAGGACATAGGGTCAGGAGGGTCTTTGTATGCTCTCAAAAGTAGAAGCAGCTTGGTCTGGCAGGAGCACAAGTGGTCACAGGGAGATGTGGACAGTGACCTTGGAGAGGCTTCAGGCATGGAGATGGCCACTCAAAGCACCCTCCTGATTTGGAAATCTCTTAGAACCACTTGCAGGAAAAGGCAGCATATGTTGGATATTTTTGTAAAACTCAAGTTTTATTACTTTCATGTGGACTATTAATGAAGATATGAATATGTACTAATAGCACAAGACGATTTTGTAAGAAAAGTTAGGTGAGTTCATTGTCTCACAATTCATAATCAGGGAGCATTGCACAATAATGAATCATTACCTCGAAAGCCTTTTCTAATTTGTGGCTTTATTAAGTCTGCAGAAAGAGCAGCTGAGCACCCCTGCTCAAGCCATTTCCTTGCCCCAAGTAGAACTAGCGGCAGTGAGCTCCCACCCCCAGGCAGAGCACAGGAAACGCTCTGCAGAAACTACACAGTGTGAGAGCAGCCATGGGCATGTTAATGTTTGGTGAGCCCAAAGAATCAGGCAGTTCTTGAGGATCACCCAGAATTGAAGTCCACAGGTCATAAGCTCTGCCCACATGGAGCTTCTAATCAGCTTTTAATCACATTGCTTGTGAACATGAAGGAACAGTAAAGGATCACCAGTCATTTAAGAAATGGCTCGAGTGGGAATATGAAATATGTATGGGCAGGGTGGGCAGGCAAAGAAACAGTTAATGGAGGGAATAAAAAATTTTTTTCAAAACCTGCTAGTAGCCTCAGAGATGTTTAAGAAAAGAGTCTTGAAAATTAAAATTATAGCCAAAATTATAAAACAAATTCAATAGAAGGGCTACAAGACTAAGGAAACTATTCAGGAAGTAGAACAAAAAGAAAATTAGAAGGAAATTATACAGAAAGTAGAACAAAAAGACACAGAAAATTAGAAATGACTTAAAATCTTACTTCAGGAGTCTTAACAACTTTCCCCTAAGAATTCTGGGGGAGGACTTCTCTTGTGGTCCAGCGGTTAAGGGTCTGCTTTCCAGTGCAGGGACCACGGTTGAATCCTTGGTCAGGGAACTAGATCTATGTGCTGCAGGGCAACTGAGCCCCACCCCACCCCTGGCTGCAATTACTGAGCCTGCACGCTCAGTAGAGTTTGCACTGCAAATAGAGCCCTCACACCTGCAGTGAAGTCCCAGTGCAGCCAAAATAAAAACAATTTGAGGGGGAACAATCGAGGGAAATATCTGTTAAAAGAAAGAATATGGGGCTTGTCTGGTGGTCCAGCGACTCAGACTCTGCACTCCCAATGCAGGGGCCCAGCTTCGGTCCCTGGTCAAGGAACCAGATCCTGCATGCTGCAGCTAAAGATCCCATGTGCTGCAACTAAGACCAAGTGCACCCAAACAAGTATTTTTTTAAAAGATAATAGTAATTTACCAGAAATGAAGACTTGAACATCCAGAGTGGAACGCAGCTATGCTCCTCAGTATACCACCAACATGAAGGTCCAGATTGAAATAGCCCACCAAGGAAGATGGTTAATTGTAGTAAACCAGAGATTAAAAAAAAAAAAAAACAACTTAAAAACATTCAGAAGGAAAATCAACTTCATCTTAAAAAAAAATAGAAAAAAAGCACCTCACTAAACCTCTTAATTAGTAACATTCAATGCTAAACAGTGATGCAGGGCCTTCAAAATTCTGGGAAAAAAATCACATTTAAGTAGAATTGTATAGCCAGTCAAACTGTTAATCATGTATGGAGACAAAAAGCAATTGTGGACATACATATTGGAAGAAGATATTTCCACATCATGTGACCAATAGGGATTAGTCTCCAAAATTTACAAACAGCTCATGATGATAAACAACATCAAAACAAACAACCCACTCAAAAAATGAAGACAAGACCTAAATAGACATTTCTCCAAAGCAGACTTACAGATGGCCAATAAGCACATGGAAAGATGTTCAACATCGCTAATTATTAGGGAAACACAAATCAAAACTACAGTGTGATATCACCTCATACCAGCCAGAATGGCTATCATCAAAAACTCCACTGACAATAAATGCTGGAGAGGATGTGGAGAAAAGGGAATCCTCCTACAGTGTTGGTGGGAATGCACATTGGTGCAGGCACTATGGAGAACAGTATTGAGGGTCCTTAAAAAACTAAAAATAGAGCTACCATGTGACCCTGCAATCCCACTACTGGGCATGTATCCAGAGAAAAACAGCCTGAATAGATGCAGGGACCCAGTGTTCACTGCAGCACTCTTCACAATAGCCAAGACATGGAAGCAACCTAAATGTCTATCTACAGAGGAATGAATAAAGAAGATGTACATATATACAATGGGATATTATTCAGCCATTAAAAAGAATGAAACAATGCCTTTTGCAGCAACATGGATGGCCCTCAAGAATGTCATACTGAGTGATGTAAGTCAGACAGAGAAGGAGAAAGATCGTATGATATCCCTTATGAACTTACTTACAAAACAGAAACAGACCTGATTTCAAGAGAACAAGCTTATGATTACAGGGGTGGGGGAAGGATGGGGGTGAGGGATAGTTAGGGAGTTTGGGATGGACATGTACACACTGCTCTAATTAAAATAGATAACCAACAAGGACCTACTCTATAGCACATGAAACTTTGCTCAATGTTATGTGCCAGCCTGAATGAGGGGGGAGTTTGGGAGAGAACGGATACATGGATGGCTGAGACCTTTCTGCTGTTCACCTGAAACTGTCGTTGTTTATTAATCAGCTATGTTGTTCAGTCGCTAAGTCACGTCCAACTCTCTAAGATCCCATGGACTCTAGCACGCCAGGCTTCCCTGTCCTTTACTATCTCCCAGAGTTTGCTCAGACTCATGTCCCTTGAACCGGTGATGCCATCCAACCATCTCATCTCTGTCACCCCCAGTCAGCTATACCCCCAATACAAAAAAGTTTTTTAAGAAATTGTGAGCCATTAAAAAGAATTCATTTGA